AAGATTAATTTCATAGGTATGCCTCCTCCGGGCTTTCTTAGAGTCATTCTCTGGAGGAGGGACCTACCGTGATCATCAATTTTAGATAAGACACTTTTTGGTTTGTAACCCCAGGCAGGCCCGGCATTCCATCCCGCCGCCCCCCAATGGTTACAGTTGTGCCCCCATTGTTTGTCAACTACACAAACACAGGGGTCTTTTGAATGAGGGATATCTCTATAGATATTCTGAATCTGTGACGTGGGGAATGGGCATTCTACGATGTCACAGTAGTCAAAAGTATAAGTAGCCACACGGGTACATGATGAATTATACCAGAAGGTGTACCCACTAGCATCCATGTGATGGCCACCTGCTGGGCTTTAAGGAGGCCAACTAAGGAGATAATGTACCAGAGGCACATGGTTGCATAGAGTTAGCTTCCTCTGGGGCAGGTGTCTTCTTGCAATGGGAAGCGTGGATCCAGTTAGGCCTTCCGGCCAATTTGACAGAGGTAGGGAGATCAGGAGAACTTGGAACGGACATTTACTGTTTTCGCACAAATTTCTTGACCAGAACCCAGTCATCGGGGAGCAGACTGTGGTTGCCTGTGTCAGAATCAGGATCTGGAATTGAAGAGAAAACTTGGGCATGGATTTTGTTTAAGGCGTTTGCGAGTTCAGTTACATAATCTACGAAGACATCAGTTTGAAGTTGTAGTTGTTAGGGAAAATAGCAACCTAGCCTAGGTGCAGTCCCAAATAGAATCTCATATAGGGACAATGAGGTAGTATTTTTGTACAAGAGCATTCATTAGATCCTTTGATAAATGTGCAGGTCCGTGTGCCCATTGTACGACTGCTGGGTACAAATTCTTAGGGAGGCGGAACTTGAGGTTGTTGGAGTACACTCCATCCTTCAGAACTGCCCCTTTCTGTTTCCACTTCTGTATTTCTTCAGGGGCAACTGTAGCCTGTTGTTCCCGCAGGATTTTTAGGTCAGTTGGAAGAGTCTGCAGAGTAAATATGGGAGTTTCTTCTTTCCACTTCCTGTGGTTCTTTTGCAGCTTGTTTTGCAGCCTGATCAGCTAGATGGTTGCCCCTTGCTTCATCTGAGTCCAACTTCCCATGTGCTTTTATCTTCAAAATAGCCACTTCTTCTGGGAGTAGGAGGGCGTCCATCAGCTCCTTGATTGCGGAACCGTGCTTGATTGGTGTACCGGCGGTGGTAAAAAATCCTCTTGTTTTCCAAATTAATCCAAAGTCGTGAGCCACGCCCAGTGCATATCTTGAATCCGTGTAGATATTGGCGCGCTTTCCTTCAGAGATCTTGCATGCTGAAGTCAGGGCTTGCAATTCAGCTTCTTGTGCAGACATAGTTGATGGTAAAGATGATGATTTGACAATTTCATCTGTTGTGGTTACTGCATATCCTGTATGGTATCTTCCTTCTTCATCAGCATATCTTGAGCCGTCCACAAACAGGGTGAGATCGGGATCTACCAATGGGTCTTCATGCACAGTTGGTAGATGTGTTGTTTCCATTTTCATCTGTTCAAAACAGTCATGAGGTGTATCTGGGTCGTAGTCATTCACTATGGTTAAATCTTGGAACTCATTCTCCAGGAAATGACGTGGCCATGCCTTTAGGTGGTCAGTTGTTGGATATTTGACAACACCATTTTCCTGTAGCTGTGATTCGTCCATAGTGGCCCATGCTTTTGCCATAGGCCCAAGATCATTCCATGATATTGTTTTCAACTTGGTCACAGGGACATGTGGAATGGCAGTGTCCCAATGACGGTACAAATGCTTGAGTTCCGGGGGTAGATGAATCAAGACCATACTGTTGCCTTCAGAATCACAGTAGAAGTCTTGTGCAGTGAGTTTTACTTCGACCAGATGATAGAGTTCATCTTCATAGCAGGTTTCAGGAGTGATGTTTGATTTGTACCACATGGTACAGAAGGCATATCCTGCTCCGTCATGAAGGAGTGTTTGTCCATCATGAAAGGATAGGTTGGGATGCATTTCCTTCTTGATGGTGCCAGTGAGAAGAGAAACATAAATTTCGTCCATGATGAATCCGTAGTATACACCCCCCTCAGGGGGTGGCAGAAGAGTGGACGGATTGAGAACTTGACATCTTTGGAGGGTAATGTTGTCAGGCAACAAAAGATGACATTGAAGGCGAAGATGCCTAGCAGGAGTAACATGCTTAAGTTGGACCTGGTTGACTATGGCAGAAATGTCATGGGGGGCCAAGACAACCAGGGGGTGGCCAAGGACAAGATCTCCAGTTCTTTCAATGAGCTCTCTGGCAGCAAAGACGGCCCGAAGGCAAGAGGGACGTCCTCTGGCCACAATATCCAGTTGGCAGGAGAAAAAATCCAATAGGCCCTTGGCGGCCTCCAGGACCATGGGCCTGAGTGAGCACTCCTGTTGCATGGCCTTGTCTTTCAGAAACAAACAATTTGCATGCCACTGAGAAGGCTGTCAATTTGGTGTCTCGAGCAGATGTGGGTGAGGAAAGTAAAGATGCTTGACGTACCTGATCTTCTGTAGCAACAGCAAATCCAGTATGGTACCTTTCCTCTTCATCCGCAAACAGAGTGGAGTCAGGATCTGGCAAAGCTACTGCATGCCTTGTTGAGAGGTGTCTTATTTCTTCTTTCATCTGTTCAAAGCAACCATGAGGAGTAGTAGAAGAGATATCCTCACCTATTTCTGTGTGAGATTGAGGGTATTTGTCTTTCCATTTACAATTGTCTTGCTGCCCCCCCCTCTGTAGAGAGCTGATATTGATTTTTAGTGTTTCATGTTTTATTGAGTCAGGTTCCTTTTATGAGATTTCTGGGGACTTAGTGAAGAAAACATGAGGGGCAGCCACCTCCCAGTGATGATACAGGTGTCTTACTTCCATGGGAATCTGGGTCAGGACCGCACTATTTCCTTGAGAGTGCCCAAAACAGTATGAATAATAATTTTTTTTTTTTTTTAGTGTGGTATTCCCCCCTGGGAAGTGGCGGAAGAGGGGCCAGAGCAACTTTTTTTCTTCAAAATATAATGTTGTCAGGTAGGGGACAAGGTGGAGTAGAGAGAGGAGTAGGAGGAGGAGAAGGTGGAGTAGGAGGGAGGAGTAGGAGGAGTAGAAGGTGAAGTAGAGGGAGGAGTAGGAGGAGGAGAAGGTGGAGTAGGAGGGAGGAGTAGGAGGAGTAGAAGGTGAAGTAGAGGGAGGAGTAGGAGGAGGAGAAGGTGGAGTAGAGGGAGGAGAAGGTGGAGTAGAAGGAGGAATAGGAGGAGTAGGATTGAATAAGAGGAGGAGGGAGGAGTAGGAGGAGGAGAAGGTGGAGTAGGAGAAGGGGAAGGTGGAGTGGGAGGGAGGAATAGGAGGAGTGGAAGGTGAAGTAGAGGGAGGAGTAGGAGGAGGAGAAGGTGGAGTAGAGGAGAGGAGAAAGAGGAGGAGAAGGAGGAGGAGAGAGAAGTAGAAGGAGGAGAAGGTGGAGTAGGAGGAGGAGTAGGAGGAGGAGAAGGTGGAGTAGAGGGAGGAGAAGGTGGAGTAGAAGGTGAAGTAGAGGGAGGAGTAGGAGGAGGAGAAGGTGGAGTAGAGGGAGGAGAAGGTGGAGTAGAAGGAGGAATAGGAGGAGTAGGATTGAATAAGAGGAGGAGGGAGGAGTAGGCAGGGGTGGGCAGGTAAGGGAGCAGACAGGTCTCTCTGGAGGCTTGGGTATGTAGCAGTGGAGGATACATCAGAAATCAGAACTAAGTAGAAATGCAATGGAGGCTGCAAATAGCCCATGTACAACAACTTTTAACTGGCCCTATGCTTTCCCTAGAGAAAAATAATAAAAGGCTAACAAGCACATCTGTCTGTACAGGCCTTGAATGCTTCACTCCGTGGGTATCCCGCAGTGGCTAGTCCACTACATCTCCCACACCAGACTTTTGCTCGTAGAGACAGACGCTATCCCTGACTCTCTCTTTTTTTTTTTTCCTTCAACTTATCATAAAATATAACTCTTACTTACATCACAAATATACATTATCGCAATTTTATGTCTCGCAAAAGGGATAAAACTTTTTTTTACTCTTCACTGATAATGTATTAAAACTTACAAAATAGACAAATAACATTGTTTTTCTGCGAGATAAATGAAAAAGATAATGGAGGTTTTGTTAAGCTTTACATTTAGCTATACATTAATTTATCCTTTCTGGTTTCCAGTTTCTCTCTGTTAATGACAATGTACAATGTAATAGAACAGCAGGAAAAGCTAGCAGAATGCTTGGTTGTATAGGGAGAGGTATTAGCAGTAGGAAGAGGGAAGTGCTCATGCCATTGCACAGAACACTGGTGAGACCTCACTTGGAGTACTGTATACAGTACTGGAGACCATATCCTTAGAAGGACATGGATACCTTAGAGAAAGTTCAAAGAAGGGCTGCTAAACTGGTTCATGGATTGTAGGATAAAACTTACCAGGAAAGGCTAAAGGATCTTATCATGTATAGCCTAGTGGAAAGACGAGACAGGGGAAATATGATAAAAGCATTTAAATACACAAAGGGAATCAACACAGTTAAAGTGGAGTCTATACTTAAAAGAAGGAAAACTACCATAACAAGAGGACATAGTCTCAAAAATAGAGGGACAAAGGTTTAAATAAAAATACTATCAGGAAGTATTACATTACTGAGAGGGTAGTGGATGCATGGAATAGCCTTCCAGCTGAAGTGATAGAGGTTAACACAGTAAAGGAGTGTTTAAGCATGCGTGGGATAGGCATAAGGCTAAGCACTTGCTGCTAGTAACAGATCTAGAATCAATACACTATAATGCCCAAAGTCTCGACTTCTATGCATATATATAATAATAAAATATCTGGGCTTACATTAAAAAAATATGTTAGTCAGTCTTTAATCTTGGTGGTTAACATTATCCAATAAAGACAGATTGGAACACACTCCCATTATCCTTATCCATTTGTTAGTAGTTAGGCTCATAATGTTTTCTGGTTCTTTTCAATTAGATCAAAACATCTTGAGACCAATCTTTAATTGTATTACCATTTGTTCAAGAAATCTTTGTTTATTAGAAATTTCTTTTAGCATGTTATCAATTTTTTGTACACAAAGTTAAAACATATTGTTACTTAACACGTGAATCGGTATATATATATCCTTTCTACATATTAACCATCACTTGTCACAGACACTTTTCTGATATAGGGAAACATTAGCAGGATTATTTTAGTAATTGTAACTTTCTTGTTCATAATATGTGGGAATTTAAGGAAGACAGCATGTCTTAAGATAGGATGAGCATGATAGGAGTAGATCTCGTCAGCCATGGATGGCCAGAACTGACACGATATATGGGCAGATATGACCTCACTAAGGGCAGAGTGAAGGCACTTAAGGACAACCTTCTTTTGTTCTAGGGGCCATTTTCCCTTAGGGCATACTAAGTCTCTCTGGAGGCGTGGGTTTCATGGGAAGTAACATTCTGTTCGGCAAAATGAAAATCTGAACTGTGGACAGACTTGACGGATTAAATAAGACAGTTGTGAATATTATACATCTAACAGCCCACAAAGCTGTCTCTAGAAACATATACTAACTTAATAACTTCTATTCCTGCATCAGATTCACTCCCTAACCATCCTATCAATTTCTATTGAGATAACAAAATACACAATTAGAATATTTTCTAGCAAAAATTCCATTGCTAAAAATCTTATCAGTAGCTTCTGAATAACTCTACAGAACACCGAAGAGACAGACCTAAATCGCAAGCATGTCACCACCCCCCTCCGCCCCCTCCCCCCCGCGTCTCACAGAAGCGAGGGGAGGGGGGGGTGTTTTAGCAGAGGGGGATTTGAGTGGAACAAGAGAGAGACTGCCTGCCAGCACGAATTTAACCATGTCAACGCTGTACAGTAACAAGACAGAAGGACAATTACATTACAAAGCAAAAAACACAACATTTATTATTATGATATACATACAGTTCTTAACCCTTTATGATTTATCTCTTCCTCTA